GGTACACAATAGTCTGACGTACCTACAGACTTCTTGCCTGATTCTGCAAGTCACCTCCAAACTTGAACCAGGTCACCTCCAAACTTGGACCAACCAGCTGCCATACTTGTCTCTGCCACCAGCTATCTGCAACCCTGTTGACTCTCGCCAGCTTGCCCAGATGCCTCTTCCCTAAGGTCTGACCCACTAACCTGATCCTCTAATAGAACAAAAGCCATTTCCTGGAACTAACTCTGTGTCTGTGTGTCACGGCATGAATCTTGTCCCCCAAAAGATACATATATGATGATACAACATAGATGTTATGTAATGATGCCCCATGACCTGATGGCAGAAGATTCAGAGGATAAAACACCCCTAATCCCATCAAATGCAAAGTCATTTGACTGTGTGGATCATAACAAACTGTGGCTGACTCTGAGAAGAATGGGAATCCCAGAACACTTGATCGTTCTAATGCGAAACTTATACTTGGACGAGGAGGCAGTCGTCAGAACAGAGCAAGGGAACACTGCATGGTTCAAAATTGGGAAGGGCGTACGCCAGGGATGCATCCTATCTCCATACATTTTCAACCTATATGCAGAACAGATTATCCGGGAGGCTGGGCTCTATGAGGAGAAATGTGGGGTCAGGATTGGTGGACTATTTATCAACAATCTGCGTTATGCGGATGACACAAGCCTGCTTGCTGAAACTGAGGAGGACCTGAAGTGCCTGCTGCAGAGTGTCAAGGACTGCAGTCTACAATATGGATTGAGGCTCAATGTCAAGAAGACAAAGATTCTCACCACTGGACCAATTGGCAGCATCAGGATGGATAGTGAAGAGATTGAGATTGTACACAGCTTTAGTTTGCTTGGCTCCACAGTCAACACTCTTGGCACCAGTAGCCAGGAAATTAAAAGGCGCATTGCCATGGGAGTCTGCTGTTAGGGACCTCTCCAAAGTACTGAAAGAGCAATGGTGTCTCTTTGGAGACTAAGGTGTGTCTGATACAAGCCATGCACATCGGAGAGTTGGACAATGACCAAGGAGGATAGAAGGAGAATTGATGCCTTTGAGCTGTGGTGCTGGAGAAGAGTATTGAGAGTATCATGGACTGCTAGAAAACAAACAGATTCATCCTGGAAAGGGTTAAACCGGGTGGCTCCTTGGAGGCAAGGATTCTGAGGCTCCGTCTAACATACTTTGGACATGTTGTTAGGAGAGACTGGTCCTTGAAGAAGGACATCATGCTTGGGAGGGTGTAGAGGCGGCGCAGGAGGGGAAGGCCCTCTCTGAGGTGGATTGATTCAGTGACTGGGATAATCAGGATGGGCCTGTCAGAGACAGTGCGATTGGCACAGGACAGAGCAGAGTTTAGGGCTGTTGTACACAGGGTCGCTATGAGTCGCAAGCGACTGAACAGCACATAACAACAACAGCAATCCCATCACAACTCTAACTGGAAGGCCCAATCCCATCACACCCTATGATGTGACCAGTAATACTTATTTCAGCAGATAAAGGATAAATGGCGTGGGAGCAGGAAATGGCCTTACTGCCATCAACAAATAATCACCAGAGGTGACATGCCTCTTTTTGGACCTGGACCCTTCTTGCATGATCAAACTCCTTGACTTGGGGGAAGGCCAAAACGCACAGGAGTCTCCAGGCAAGGGCAGGCCTACCAATGCTGAAGGAAACAAGGACTTTCCTCCACAACCGACACAGAGAGGCCTTCTCCCTAAAACTGGCATCCTTAACTTGGACTCTCAGCCTCCTTAATGCTACACAAATTAATGCTGTTGAGTCATCCACTTCTGGTGTTTCTCTCACAGCAGCCTTAAATAAGACAAGAGAGAGTACGCAAGAGTTGAACCCTCCATTGAGTTTTCAAGCCTGTAAATTGTACAGAACTCGGAGAAACGATGGAAATAATACAAGTGTTCAGGTCTTTCATTCATAGGGTTACTATGAGTCATCTACGGCTCAACAGCACTTAACAACATAAAGAGAGCTCTGTTGGCCTAGTGGATAGAAAGTGATGCTACCAAGCCAACCGTGGGTGATTTAACCTGTGGCCCTCAGGCCTGGTTTTAATTGTTTTTGGTCAAACATTCTTCTAAGTGGTATAGCACTGGTCTGTCCATTTGCTATACAGAGGTAATCCGTGGTTGCTGTGATGCTAAACACTGTAACACTGACCTATCAAATGAGATAATGGTTACCCATGGTGGACAGTGTTTGGTGGAACTCCCCAATTCAAACAAGCCTGCAAGCAGGAATGGCATCCACTTCCAAAATGGCTTGTCTCCGGAAACTATGAACGTGGAGGAGAAACGAGGAAAGTTATACAAGTGTTCAGGGCTTTTGTTTATAGGGTCGCTATGAGTCATCTATGGTTCAAGAGCATTTAACAACAACAACAAATTGTACCGAAGGAGACTGCCTATCTTTCGCCCTCACAGAGTCTCAGCCTTTGAATTCATAGTGCAACTCCCTAAAGACTACATTGACAGAGCTCCCTCCACACACATGCCCATCAATAGGTTGACAGACTTAAATATATGGTACATACAACAGAGCTTGTAGGATAAATTAAGTCTTGACACATGCTACAATATGGATGGAGTTACACATCATGCTGAGTGAAATAAGACAATCACAAAAGGACAGGAACCTCACTTCGTTAAGAAGATAAGAAAAGGCAAACATATAGAAACGAAAGTTGCTTAGTGGTTAGGGTGGGGAGGAAGTGAATCCCATGGACCACAGACTGGGAGCTTTCCGGTTGCCTAGCGGTAAGGAGTTGTGCTGCCAACCCAAAGGCGCACATTTTGAACTGACCAACTTCTCTGATGGAAAAATATGGGCAATCCTGGTTCTGACTTCACAATATGACAACAACATAGACTTTTTCTGGAACCATGTACGTTTGGTGAATTCCTGAAGTTACTGCCCTGAGATAATCTTTATGCCTTAAACCAAAAAATATGCCCCTCTGGGAGCTCTGGTGGCCTAGTGGCAAGAAGCTGCACTGCAATCCTGAAGGTGTGCAGTTCGAATCCACCTGATGCTCCGCTGGAGAAGGAGGGGCAATCTCCTCCTGTGCCAGTTGGATCAGATTCGACGGTATACACACAGAAAAAAAAGAAAAAAGTACATCCCCTAAAATTTCAAAACCAAACAACAAATTTGGTATTAACTAGCTCGTAAACACTATTTTGGAACAGATCAGGGAAAAAACTGTTTAAAAAGAATATATGATCAGGCATTATCTGTATGACAGCAGACCAGAGTAAGAGGTACATTGCAAAAAAAAAAAAGGTACATTGCAAAACAGACTGGGGGGTTCGGGAAGGAGAAAATTGTGTAACGATGAATGAATATTTTTTAAAAAGTAAACTGGGGGAGGGGGAAGGGACGGAGAAGGAGAAAAATGTACAACAATCAATGAGTGAAAATCCAACTTTTCTGTAAACTTTCATTAAAATCACAATTTTTTAAAAAATCTGCCTTGAGCATTATACTCCTTGAAAATCTCGATGCAATAAAACTAACTGAAGATCAGATAGGCAGCTGAGGGTGAACACAATCTATGTGAACGGAGAGAGTAACTCAGAAAGGAGGGGGAAGAATGGCTGAACAACTCAGTGTATTGCTGAATTGTGTATGTAGAACCTGTTGTTCTGTTCTATACATTCTCAAAAATATCTTTTCAATATTAAAAGAAAAAGATTTCAACCCATCCAAACCTTTACAACTGAAAATGTTGGGGGGAAACCAAAACAAAAAATTAATTAAAAAATTTTTAAAAAAGCAAAGCTGAATATTTTCAGCTCTTGGGCAGCAAGGGTCCGCCCTCAGCCACAGGTGCTTCCAGTGGCTTTCAGAAGGAAAGAAAGGTGCAAGAGCACAGTTGGCACTTGATTCATCCAGCAACGAGGCTGCCAGCTCATCCAGCGTGGTGACACGGGCCCCTGGTTAACACATCTCCAAGAGAATGCACAGAGCATCAGAGCCGTGACCTATACCCTGAAAAAGAGAACACCCTGACAAACAGTCTTATTGTACACATCAAACACCCACAAAATCACCAGAGAAACAAGGTATCAGACCCCTCAAGAGACATCTGAACTAGCAGTGAGTTTATTATGAAAATACAGAATTTAAACTGTTCATTAAAAGTAGTTCCTTTGAAGAATGTAACCCATGTCACAATTTGTGTAAAAGCTGTTGAATGGGAACTTAAGATGCTATGTAATAAACAGTCACTGAAAACAGAGCATTATTAAACAAAATGTCCATGTCCTGACAGAATGACCGATGGTCTGCATTTAAAAAAAGGAAAAAAAGGTTACTTTGTCTTATACTCATTGCATTTCCATTTAATAAGAGCTTTTCTTATAAAGAGGAATTTTAATACATTAAATTCTGAATTTCAACACTGAATCTCAAGGACATATTTTAGTATGATTAAGAGTATAAAGCGATGTTCCAAATACCTGGGATGGCTGAAGACTGAAAGGATTGTTTTAGGGAGAGGGTGGGGATGATGAGGCCGAAAGCCAAGGGCTGACAAGGAGGGACCGAACTGAGGGAGGAAGAACAGAATCCACAGTAGATCCCACGGGGCAGGAAGGCGGACAGAATGAAGAGGGGGACAGGGGTGCTCCCTCCATCACCCACATCTGGAGACCTCTCCCAGCGGCAACCTGCTCTCCAGCACTAGCCTGGCCTCAGCTTATTTCTTGATGAGAAAAAGCCAAGTGGGGAGGCAGAACCAACAGCAAAACCCAGGCGCAGGACACTCTCTCCTCACACCCACTCATTACCGGCCAGGACCCCCTGCAGGTCTCCCCTGCACCTCACATACCTCTGTCTGCCCCACATCCAAGCAGATATTACTCCTGAAGCAAAAGCAGACAAAAAGAAGAGAAAAAGGCGGCCTGCTTAGACGGTTTATAGTGACAAGATTTATAACCAGAAACTTAGTACTTATTGCTATTCATTATTTAGTTTTTCTTTGTTGCAGATTTTATATTTTCTACGTAGGATAAGTACTCTGCAATAATAATTTCTTCATCTTCCAGAGTTGAGTCAAGATAATCTTCTTCGTGTTCTGGGATATCTTCCAGTATTTCATTGACAGCCTCTGTTTCCATATCTTCATCTGTTGAGGCACTGGAAGTACCTACGAGGAAGTATCATTGTAATACAGAGTTAGGTAAAAAGAAAAACCCACATGGTTTTGATTAAGTGCATCCGAGCCAACCTCAGGCCAGGCCTTCTGGTCACCCTCACACCAGCTTGCAGAAGAGGCTGAGCCCCTTCCTGATGTGTCAGCCTCCATCACAGGAACAGTACTCCCCCGCCCCTCCAGCATTCGGAGACCTCCAGACGTACCTGCAGAACCAGGAGGGGACGTGGATGGTGTTGATGAAGAATCTTCTGCCGAGAGCTGCAGGGCAGGGGGCAGACTCCCACCGTTGTGTGCAAGGGTTTGAGCAGCCAGCTGGACGTTCCCCCTGAACACTCTGAGCGCCGCCTGGGCAGCAACAGTATCGAAGCCCATGTACACCAGCTAGGGGAGGACAGAGAGAGGGGCAGTGGCCTCAGCCTTAGGGCTATCCCTAGCTTTCTGGTCCCATGGACACACTCCTGTCACCCACAGGATGGCTCCCCTCCACGCACATCAATGCTCTTTGTGTGCACATCACTCTTTAGCAACATCATGGTTTGAAGCCACCTGGAAAGGAGCTAGGAAAACAGGAACCAAGCAAATCAGTGCCCATTGTTTAAGGAGCAGGCACCAACTGCCAGGGCTGAGAGAAATGCGTTAGGAAACTCGAATGCACACCATCACCGATAAAGTCTCCACATGTACTGGGCCTACTGAATTTGTGGATAGAGCTGAACATTTATCACGTGGGGCTCAAAGATGGAGAGTGTTTCAGAAAACAGTGGTTTCTCTTAAGGTCACCAGCAGAGAAATGGGCTTGTAGGAAAGCCGCTGATGTTTAAAATGGGTGCTTGTAAAAGGAGGAGACCCTCAAGAAAAAAAAAAGAGATGCCTTCTCATGTTCTCTGAGGAAACACATCGCGAGTCTGGCCAGCCTCCAGGGTGGCCTCCAGGGCAGCACCACCACATACAGCCCCAGTCCTGCCCCAACCCAGCAAGCCCACTAACACCTGCATGAGGCTGGGCAAGTCCACAGAGACACAGCAGACTCTTACTTACTTGGTTAATATTCTCCTGGGAAGGACTTTGCTGAGGGCTGGTTTCCGAATCTGAATCACTTAACCACCACATCAGTGGGTTGCTGATAAGAATCTAAAATCACACAGGAATGTTAGATTGAGAAGACTGAGCACTGGGGACTGCTCGGAAGACACAGAGCACCTTCAGACGACCAGTGGACACGCAGTCAGTTGTAGGACACTGTAGGACACTGTGCGGGGCTCGGGAGAGGGCGCTGTGGAAGCAGAAGAAAGGGACACCCAGGCCAGGCCAGGAGCCAGAGGGCTACTGTTCAAAGAAGCTTCCGGCAAAAGGTAACAAACATCTGTACTGAAGTTTGAAGGACAAGTGAAATAAGTTAGGAAGAAACAAAACAAAAACAAAACTCCACTTCTCCCAAGGAAGCATGAAGAAGCAAGTTACAGAGAGCAGGTGAAAAGTGCTCTCGGAAAACAAGAGTTCAGACCCTGGAGGCAAGAGTTCCAGGCGCTATGAACACACACTCTTAAGCAAGGCACGGTGGCCCAGAGGCACACTTCTTGGTGGCCTCTGGACAGAAAATACCAGGCAGGAAGTACATTTCATTCAATCTTTATTTCTCTGCCACCTAATGCTTACTATTAACTTTAAAGAACTCTTTCAGAAAATTTTCTTTCTAACATCAACCAATCTATACTGGTCGAAATTTTTGTAATAAACGCTGTGGAACTAAATATGTGTTTTGAGCCCCATCTGTCCCTCCAGAGACCCAGAATTTCTTACTTCTTTTATCTCTCTCCAACACAAGAAATAGAACTTGATATTTAAGTAGGATATTTTAATTTAAAAATACATACCATTTCAAAATGGAGGCATATGGCATCTTAAGGGCAAAGAAATGGTTCCACCTGACACTGTAACGCTGAACACAGGACATTACTAATCAGAATAGTGAATGCATGAACTCTGAAGACCAAGAGCTTCAGTTCCTAATAATGTGTCAGTATGGGTCCACCAAGGACCACAAATACACCAGAGGAATGTTAACAAACTGTGGGGGTGGACGACCACATGGAACTTTCCTTACTATCTGCTCTATTGGTAAGCCTGAGAAAAGCTCAAAAATGTAAGGTCTATTAATGAAAATCAAGCAAAATCTCTGATTTGTGGGGCCTTCTGAGATGTGAAACAGGTGGAGGTCAGCTGCATATGAAAAGGTAAAGGTCGAAAGGCCCCCAATTGTCTGCAGAGCCATGGGAGAACTCCTAGGGCACACAGGTGACACTGCTACCCTGGCCCCGACCCCCACCAAGCCCTCATCTCTGGTCCCTGCTATGTCCACCTCCCTCCAGGATTCTCCTAACTTACCCTCAGCCTAGATGACAGAGTAGGTCCTCCAATGCCTCCCCCTCTCGGTCTTCCCCTCTTCCCTCAGGCTGCCACATCTGCCCACAGTCTTCTTTCCCTCTGCTGCACTATCCCCGACATAAGGTTTCCTGGACCACCCCACCCTGTGCCCACCCACAGCAGCCCTTAGCTCACTGTGCATGCTCACCCCTCATCTGTGGGTGCCTGAGGGCAGAAACTGCTTCCTCTTCAAGGGACTAAGCCTCAGGACCCAGCACCAGACCTGTCTCTAGTACAGATTTAATATGTTTGAAGAACAAAACATGGAAAGATAATGGACCTAAATAAAATTACCACTAATCTGGATTACAACCAGTTTTGCCACTTCTGCTGAAATTTTAAAAACCTTCTTTGCTACCATGTACTATAAAAAAAAACCAAAACAGTCAAACATAAATCAAAACTTATTGCCTTTGAGCTGGAACCAACTCACAGTTGACCTTCCAGCAGGTTTTCAAAAGCTGTAAATTGCACAGGAGATTTTTCTCACAAAGCCAGTAGTAAATTCAAACCACCAGAGAGGCCTCACAACCCTACAAAATGACTATGCCACAGGCCTCCCTATTACAGACTCAGTAAATAATATAGATATGCAAATGAATACTTAATGAAAAAAAGTGTGAAAAAAATACTAAAATGTAAATGAACCTTCTCACTGCAGCTGACGCTTAAGTATAATGTAACGTCTCTTTTTCCCCACTGCAGAAATTAGGCCTATTTATTTAAGTTCTTGCCAGAAATGACAATCAGACAAAAACACCTTGCCTGGGGGTAAACTAGGAAAATAGAGGATAGACAATGAACACTACATTGGAACAGATATAGGAAAGAACTATTTAAAAGGGATCTATGTAGGCACTGTATGTCTGACAACAGTTCAGAATAAGAGGTACATTGCAAAGAGGGCTGGGGAAGAAAGGGAAGGAGGAGGAAATTATGCAACAATAAATGAATATTAAAAAAATAAAGGAATGGAGTGGGGGGGAGGAAAATGTGCCCCAGTGGTATGCTTTGTGAACACCTTGTGAGCCACCCACAAAACAAAGCAGGAGGAAGGGGCTGAATGCAGCCGGGCAGGGGGCTTACCCTCAGGGCTCTCTCCAGGTCCCCACCAGCCTGGCGAAGGGCCTGCTTGGCGGCGTGTGTAGAGTAACCTATTCCTTTCAAAGAGTTGATGTTCTCCAGATGACGTCTTTTCTTTTCTTTTTCTTCTTTCCTTATCTGAGCCAATTCCTTTAGGAAAACAACAAAGTCATACTGAGTTAGGGAGAGGCTGCACAGAAAGCCTCCTAAATCTATGCTCTGTAGGATTTCTGAGGCAGCTGGACAATGGAAGTCACTCACTAAACCCGTCACTTAGACGGAACAGGCACTGTTAGCTCAAATACTGCCGTAGGTTGTTAGAGACACAATCATGGCCAAAATAGACTTAAGTCCTGCCCTCCTGAAGAGTGAGGAAAACATGCATTAGATAAACAAAGGGAAAGAATTTCAAGTGAAAATGGTAGACAGCCTGCATTGCCTCTTCAGTGAAGACTCCAGAAAACAAAGATGGTAGATACTGAAGGCAATTAGGGTGCCCTGCTTTTAAAAAGAAAAGACAAGTATTTCAAATATCAACTGAAGGAAGAAACTGAATAAAAGCAATGAATTGGGAGACAGGCAGAACACAGAACTGGAAAAGGTTGTATGGACATTCTGAACAGTGGTCTACTTGGCATGGGAAATCACTGGAAGCCACATCAGTGTCTCTGATGACAAGAAAAAATGCAACATTCCCCTTTTCCCGCCTTCTGAAGATCAGGAAAGTGACTGTCCCACCACTATGTGATGGCAGCATTCCCAGAGCCCATCCCAGCTCCAGCTGAGGGCAGGCCCTCGTCACTGTGTATTAGTGCTGGGAATATGGCCACAATTCTATATCCAGGAGCCAGGGGACTGTGCTGTGCCTGGTCTGCAGTCAACCTCGGGTTAGTGGAGGGACCACCTCTGATTGGGGTCCTTGCCTCTCACTGGGCATCAATGGAGAAAGCTTGCTGAGCATCTGCCACAGCCACAAATGGAACAGTGTGACCTCCTCAGAGAGCACCATCCTTGGGTATTTCTGGCAATGCCTCCTCATGCTAGCCATCTGCAAGGTATCCTGCCTGAAGCCCTGCCCCACACTGGTAAAGACATAATCCCAGCTAGGTGGGCTAATCTAGGTACTTTTGAGGCCAGCAGAAACTCTTGTCCCAAAGTGGGTGCACCACACCTCGATCCCCTTAGATCCCCAGAGAAGGTGGTACTAGTGACCCAGTTCACTTCTTAGGGCTTCAATTGCCTCTCAGATGAACAGAAACTCCACCTTGACAGGGTATACCAACATTCTGCTGGACAGACACACTGCTCCGCATCAACCATCACACCTCCTCCAGCTGCCACTGCAGCAACAAGTGCAGTCTCGCCTTTTCTCCCTCACACTTATTTCCCAGAGCTATTTGTTGTCATTTACTCTGTGGTTTTATTCTCTTAGCTTCCCCTAGCTTCCACTTCCTCTTCTCTCTAGCTTTTTTCTCTTTCTCTTGCCATTTTGTTATCTCTCATTTTCCCCTTTCTTTTTTATTATCCTTCATTTTATACTCCTTCCAGTTTTGGTTTTTCCATTTCCTTTGAGTGTTCCATCTTGGACTGCGGTGTTTTCTGTCACTTGTTTTTGTTTTATGTCCCTTTTTCCTTGTCCCATCAGACAAAAGGTAGCAGCAGTCCCCAACCACACACACACCTCTTGCAGCTTTACCCAGAAGCCAAGACCAACTCCTAATCAATTACAGGCTACAAGCAACACTGCCCAGTCTGCCCTCATCTATTCTACACACACATGGGACAGAGAATGGTACACACACACTATCATCCTCTATCATACCAACCAGAAGACAAGAGGTAAAACACTGACAGTTACCAAAACAGCATGTGATACAACATACTCCCATGGTTCTATTAGGTACAGCAAAACAAAATTATACAAAGACACCCCACCATGGTATTTAAAGCTGCAGATAACTTTAGATCAGCCAAAAAGAGAAAAGATGGAATAAAAAAGCAATCAAAATATTGTCATTAGGTCAACAATCAGAGAGCTGAACAATGAGAGCTTCAGCTTAAAAAACACAAAGCAAGTTCAGCCATTTTGATCTTCCAACTCCAGCTTTTTGCACATTTCATTATAATACTCTGTCTTCTCGATCTGCTCTTTGAAATCCTGTTCAGCTCCTTAACTTCCTGCTTTCTTCCCTTTGCTTTGGCTCCTCAGCACTCTAGTGCAGTATTTACAGTTTCTTCTGACATCCAACTCAGTCTTTTCTTTCTCCTCCGTCTTTGTAATGACCTTTAGCATTCTTCATGGATGATATTCTTGATATCCTCCCACAGCTCATCAGGTCTTCATTCATTAGTGTTCAAAAGCCTCAATTCTGCTTCTGAGGTTGTTTTTATAAATTCAGGTGGGATAGATTCAAAGTAAAATTTTGGTTCCTATGGAGTTGATTTAACTTTTGTTAGCTTTTGTTTGAACATGTGTAAGTAGTTGATGGTCTGATCCACAATCAACACCTTGTTTAGTTGTAACTGCTGATATTGAGCTTCTCCAACAATTCTTTACACAGATTTAATCAACTGATTCTTTTACATACCATCAGGTGAAATGCATATGTTAGTCTGTGCTTACATTTCTCATAAAAGCTATGTACAATAAATAAATCGATTGTACAAAATTCTATCATTCTATCCCCAGCCTCATTTCTGTCACCAAGTCCATGTTTTCCAACTACTGATCCTTCTTCCCTGTTCCAAATTTTTGCACTCCAGTCACCCATTATTATGAATGCATCTTGGTTGCATGGTCGGTCGATTTCTGACTGCCAACAGTTGGTAGGAATCATCTATTTCCTCCTCTTTGGCTAGAGTTGTTGACAAATATATTTGAATGATAGTGGTATACCAGACTTCCTTGTATGTCTAGGGATATCATCCTGTTGCTCAAATGTTGTATTTCAAGATTTATGTAGAAATTACCCTTTTAACTATAAAAGTGGCCCTGTTTTCCTCACCTTTTCATCTGAGGTGTAACAGACCACATGATTGTCTAATTCAAAATGTCCCATGCCAATCCATCTCATTTTGCCAATATCTAACCAAGAATGCCAATATTTATGTGTTTCATTTCTTTCCTAATGATGTCCAGTTTTCCTAGGTTCATGTTTCTCACATTCACCTTCCTCCAATCATTATTGTCTGCTTACAACTGTTCCTCCTCCTTTGTGTTTCCAAATTTGAGGGCTCAGCCTCAGGTACCATATCTGGTAATCTGCTCTATTGTACATAGGGTTTTCGAAGGCCTGTTATTTCAGAGGTGGAGGGCTCTAAATAACCCTGAAAAAATTTCTGAGGAAGGAGTTACATTGGAACGTCCTGATAAAGAACTCAAAAGAATGGTAGTTCAGCATCACTGGTGAACTGAGGAGAAAGTGGAAAAAAACACAGTAAATAATTGAGAATATTTTTTAAATTACAAGACCAAATAAAAAATATAAAATAAAAAAAAATTTAAAAACAGGGGAGGGGGAGCCATATAAAAACAGCAAATTGACATTCATAACATTAAAACTGAGATTTCAGAAACAGATGACACTGTCAGAGGACAAAAGAGCAATACTGAAGAAATAGAATTTACAACTAATGAGATGGAAGACAAGGCCCTCAGTACTAAACTGTCAGAGGAACAGTTAGAAAAAAGAAAGAAGAGAAACAAAGGCTGCATAATAAGAATGTGGAACACCAAGAGAAATAACTTACTTGTGACTCGAATTCCAGAATAACAAGAAATAAATGGGACAAAAAAAGTACAGAAGAAATCACTGAGATTTGATGGATGTAAATTTCCCAAATATTATAGAAAAGATATAAGGGTGATAGAAGAATCACTGATGTCTTGGAGTTGTGCTGTTGGAGAAGTGTACCAAATACTCTATGGACTGCCAAAAGAATAAGCAGGTATGTAATGAGGGTGCTCCTTGGAGGCAAGGATGACAAAGCTTCATCTCATACTCTAGGACATGTTGGTAGGAGAGGTTATTCCTCGTAAAGTGCTATCATGCTTGGCAAGATGGAGAGTCAGCAAGAGAGGAAGAACCTCAATGAGATGAGACTGGCTGACACACTGACTACAGCAATGGGCTCAAGTGTATCAGATGTTGAGGATGGCACAGGATAGGACAGGGTTTAGATCTGTTATCCATAGGGTCACTATGAGGCATACCTGACAGCACCTAACAATAACAAACGAGAAAATACACATTTCGGAAGTTGAGTGAACCACAAACAAGGTAAGATTCCAAATGAAAAACATCAAGACTATTATAATCAAATTTTCCAAAATTCAAGACAAAGTACTAGAAACACCTTAGTAAAAACCACAAATCACCTAAAAACAAGAATCCGTAAGACTAAGTTCTGATTTCTAAGAAGAGACCGCACAGATAAGAAGACAATAACATGACATATATAAAATGATGAAAGTAAAAATATGCCAACTAAAAATTCCATACCCAGCAAAACTGTCCCTCTAATATGACAGTGAGATTAAGACCTTGCCAGATAAAAAGAAACTGAGGGACTTTGGTAAAGCCAAACCAATCTTAACAAAAAGTACTGTTTCTGAACAGAAGGCAAACTGTAAACACTAACCTGACATTAACACATATGGCAACATGATTCAGAAAGCAACCTAGACATTGAAACACACAAAGCAAAATAGAGTTAATAAGACTAAAAAGGGTACCAAACGTATCAGTCCTTAATGAGGACAATAACAGTGCATTTCTGTACCAGAGCTGTCACATCACATTTTGGTCCTCCTCACAGAAAAGTAAAATCAAGTCTCAAATGATGTCTTACTTGTTCAATGCTCTTCTCCAGCACCACAGCTCAAGGCACCAATTCTCCTTTTATCCTCCTCAGTCATTATCCAACTTTCTAATGCATAACAAGTGATAGCAAAGACCATGGCCTGTATCAGATGTACCTTAGTCTCCAGAGAGACACCACTGCTCTTTAGTACGTTGGAGAGGTCCCTAACAGCAGACTTTCCCATCGCAATATGTCTTTTCATTTCCTGGCTGCTGGTGCTGAGAGTGTTGACTGTGGAGCCAAGCAGACTAAAGCTGTGAACAATCTCAATCTCTTCACCATCCATC